AGTGAAATATTTCAGTCAACTTATTGAAATTTTATTCATTTCTTCACATGCCATTTTGGCAAAATGGAGCGTGTAAATTCATCTAAGCATGTAAATTACGTTCAAATTTTCGTGTATTGAGTTTTTTTTAGTTTTTTGAAGATTACTGCTTGCATAACTGACGGATTAAGAACTTCCTGACCCTTGTCTTTTCTCCGAGAGCACATATTGGTTTCTCCAGATCATTGTAGAGCTAATTACAGGTGTTTTGTTGCGAAAATTTTAAATGTCACTCGGAGATTTGTTGCAGGAGTTGACAACTTTTTGGATAACATCAAATGGATGATCGACTTCTACCCATTGCCATATATTGTGTGGAAAATTTTATGGAAATTTATCTGCCCATTGATATATTCTGTAAGAGATTTCGTCAAATCTGTCAACGTTATGGCTCGAAATTTTTTTTTTTTGCTTTTTATGTACTAATTTAAATGACTCATGCCTTCCGTTGAAGACACCTACTGAGTTTTCCCCTCTTCACAGAACAAATGGAATACATTAGCTCTTTACATTTGTTCCCACATTTTTGCGCATTTTTATGATTTTTTAGTAAATAATTAGGTAGAAAAACTGGAGTAAAAATTCCCATATATGAGGAGAAAAAAAATATTATTTTCAAGGAATTCTTTTTGAAATACATAAAATTAATTTTTCTGAATGGCTCATAAAACTTTTTTTTATTTGATGAAATTTCTTCAAATTTAATGTAAATACCACGATCGTTGGTTGAAAATAGCTCTTACCTCCTAACATAGCGGTTTGTACTATTGTGGATTATTGGGAACAGGAGTTCAAATCCATCTTAGCAGTCGGAAAGGACAATTTCCATCCGGAAATAAATGCTCATTATGGACGTTTAGTGCAGTAGCGGGAGCGAACTTGGGCATGTTGAGCAAAGCAAAGTGTAAATTCAGAAAGCTTATGCACGAAGTATCGGTATAGATTCATTCGACATCGAGTGGTATCTCGCTAGTATTCTTGAATTTCTGAATACTGGTAAATTGTGAATATTGTTTTACAGGCGATGCTTTCACTAGCCTGGTTCTCATACAAACCGCTGTCATATGAGAACTACAAATTTCCGCTATATGCGGAAAAAATTGGTTGGGCCCTCTCGCTAGCACCACTTCTTGCCATACCAATAACGGCACTAGCGAAATTTTGCCTGGCCGATGGAACGATTATTCAGCGATGGATGGATCTGTTTTGTCCGGACGATGAATGGGGCCCGGCTCTTGCGGTACATCGTGCCGAGTATTATCCACTGCAAATTCCTGAAGCAAGACGACTTGTTTTTCCAGCACAGAAACAGGTGCACAGTGAAACTTACTAAAATTTGACTGTTTATCCAGAACCGCGTTGTAAATTTGATGGGTTTGAATTGGATACAAGCAGAAAGATCGGAATAGCGACTTATGACTGATAAGTTAGTAGCACCTAGTAATCCACACAGTCTTGATTAGGAGTTCTTTTGAACAGACTGATCCAAGTTGTTCTGGGAAAAAATTGTCCAAAAATACTA